AATAGTTTATTATGGCTTTCAATATATTGTTTGATTGTCTGATTAGATTTTAAGGCCATCTGGCTCCCAAAAAAATCTGGGCAGCTTACATATTTTACATTAATATATGTGAGATGATAGACAGATGGTAGATAGGTAGATGATAGATAGGTAGATGATAGATAGATAGATAGATAGATAGATAGATAGATAGATAGATAGATAGATAGATAGATAGATAGATAGATAGATAGATGTTAAAAAAGAATTTGATTGTCGAGACAAAACCACATAACTTCTCCCCACCCACACCCTAAAAATAATAATTACCAGGGTCTCCACAAACACCTATGTCCCAAGCTTGGCAACCCAGCCACATCTTAAGAGTCTTCTGGAACATTTAAAGGGTAGGAGCCATATATATTTCTGGAGGCTACTATTCTGGAAGTTAGGCACTGCAACAGAATTCACATGCTTTTTTGTTCTGCAAAATGACAACATTTTACACACACACATATACACACACAAAGTAAAGTAAGGAGTTTTATAAAACTTTTGTTCTAAACTTGAGCAAAACTATTGTTCCAGCAAAGGACATCCTATACACGAAGACAGCTATTACATTTTGCTGAAATCCTTTCTTCTCTTATCAAAACAAATATAAACCTTCCAAGAATTCTCTATTTTTTTCTCCCAAGGCTCTTATCATCTTGGACATAGTTGGACCAATATGGAATACGAAGGAATAGCTATTTATTTTGATCTCAGTGCTTTATTTCCCTTGATGTGGCTGTAAACCTGTAAATGTGGAGATAACCTTGGCAAAAGAATGAATGAAAGGAAAAAAGACAACTCAGTCCTTGGGAAATGAAGACCTAATATAGGCTGTCAGGATTCTATTGTTATATCCTATAGTAATGAAATAGTATTCTGGTTTTTTTTTTTTGAAGAACTGGCATCAGTCTTGCTTTTTTTTTTAATTGTTCATCCTCATTCCTACATCAAGTTCATCTCCATATTCCTTTACAGTGGCATAGAATTGCTGTTGCTTTTTGGAAACTACATCACACAATTTGGCTCTCATTCAGCTTATGAATATCAAGATACCACTGAGTATGCTTATTCAATCATCTCTGATTGAATTCATTTAATTGTAACATAGTATAACCAACTTTTTGCCAGTTTTTTTATTAGGATTTCATGGGAGACTTTATCAAATACAGTATTTTGCTGGAGCTAAAATGTCCACCACATCCCATGGTTAACTAAACTGGTTCCTATATCAAGAAAAAGATTAAGTTGGTTTAACATAACAAGGTCTTCGTTTAACCAACTTAGCTCTTCTGCTAATCAACATATTTTTCTTTTAAAAAAGAACTCAAAATAATTGTTTAATAATCTAGTTTGGAGTTTGCTGAGTGGACAAGTGGATGACCCTTTATTACCCATTCCCCCCCCCATTTTTGAAGATAGAAATAATATTTGCAGTTGAAAGGCTCTTTGATCCTATACTCTACTCAGTGTTTTTCAAACTTGGCAACTTTAACATGTGTGGAGTACAACATGCTGGCTGGGGAATTCTGGAAATTGAAGTTCACACATTTAAAGTTGCCAAGTTTGAAAAACGGTGCTCTATACCCATCTGCCATGATTTCACAATATTCTCAGAAAGTTTATATCCTCAGCATATTTGAAGACCCTTGAATGTAATTTATCTGGGCTAGAGATTTGCTTATAGTAGCCAAGTATTTCCTGACTATCACTTTACTTACTTTGGAGTGTAACAGTCTCCTTATGTCACTTGATTAGTTAAGATCCATTTGATCATAGTTGCCCTTTTGGGACAAGATCACAAGTAAATGAAAGCATTTGAAGCATTTTTCTCTTTTCCCATTACCTCTTCTGTTCTATTTTTTCCAAACAGTGGGCTTGCTCCTTCCTTTTCATTCTTCTTATTATTAACCTAGTAAAAAAGTTATTTTTATTTCCTTTACCTTCTTTTGCAAGGCTATATCTTTTTTAACTTTAGCCTTTCTCACCTATTCTGTTCCTAGCTGGTTCGCTTCCTTGGCAATTTCACTATCTTCTATTTCACTGATATATTTCTTTCAATTCTTGGCTCAGTTGAAATGAGTTGTACATTCACTGGAATAATGTACAATTGCACATTTACTATTTTTAGTGTACCTCCTATACTACTTTTAAACATTTCTGTACAACACTTAGTACTATTTTAAATTTGTTTTCTAATCTTTGCCTGTCCCTGTAGAAAAATTCCATTTCTGCAGAGTCACTGCTTCCCAAGCTTCCTACTGATTTTTCCACTTCAATTAACTTTTTCTGATTGGTTAGGATACGATTTAGGAATGCTGCTCCCCATGACTTTTCTTCAGTCTTCTTTATAAAGAAACCTTCAACAGGACCAAATCTTTGGGGGAGCTTACAATCTTTCTGAACTGATTTTCTAATAGTTGTTTAGATATTAGAAATGTCCCATTAATACTACGTTCCATTCCTCAACGTTCTCTAATCTGTTCCAGAAAAGCATTATCCAGATTATATGACTGGCCCATTAGTGGACTGCAGGATAAAACATATGAAGAACAGTTGCAGGAATTGGATATGTTTAGTCTGGGGGGGGGGGGCATAATTGCAGTGTTCCAATATCTAAGGGGCTGCCACGAAGAAGAAAGGGTTAACCTATTCTCCAAACCACCCAAAGGCAGGACAAGAAGCAATGGAACTAAGGAGGAATTTCCTGACAGTTAAAACAATTAATCATTGGAACAACTTACTTCCAAATATTGGGTGCTTCATCACTGGAGGTTCTTAAGAAGAGATTGGACAACCATTTGTCTGAAATGGTACAGGGTTTCCTTCTTGAGCAGGGGGTTGGACTTCCAAGATCCTTTCCAGCTCTGTTATTCTGTTATTCTCTTTATTTTCCATAGCATGACCCTGTAGAATATCGTTGTTGTTTCTCCTTCCTATCAATTTTACCCAAATGCTTTTGATTTTGATTGGATGTCATGGTCATAGTCCTGGATTTCTACAGATGTATATACTTCTTTCACAAATACATTCATTCTCCCCTTTTGACTGGCATATTTGTTTTGAATAAGTTACTCTTATTCATTCTTTCATTCCATTAATGTGCTTTATCCCAACAGACTTCAGTAATGTCCAGTAAATCATGTTCACCATCCCGCTTTAAGATTTATAATTCCTTCTGTTTGTTCTCCATGCTCCATAATTTTGTACACACACTTTGGTTTACATTCTTAAAACCAAAAGCTACTGTTCTTTTTGAATCAGCTGATTTTATATAAAAGCCAAGTGTGGGTTTTATACACATTTATCAATCCCCTTCATCCTACAGGGTGATATTCCAAGCTCAAAGTAGTTTCACATTCAAAACACATTCTGAAGGTGTTTCACATTTAAAGTTACTAGTTTAAATATTCATACCAAAGTACTGAAGTCCAAGAGATACTGAAATAAACTCCCCCCCGCCCCAAAAATAATTCCATGTTGTTAATATTGAACAAAAACCAGGCATATTTATATCACTATCTAAACCCAGCAGTATAAAATCCTTATTTTGGAATATTTCAGTTTTTAGTAATTTAGGCTTATGACAGTACAGCATAAGTGATGAACATTATTAATGCCTAACTCTGATATTGCTTGGGGAAATTTGAGTGATCCAATATCAACTATTCTCTGTTTATTTTACATTTTCAGTATAGACCATCAAACCTTCCCGTTTTTAAAAATAGCCTGGTTTGTTATATATTGAATGTCATTTCAAGGAAGTATAAAGAGGATATTAAAAAAGTTCAATTACATGTTACGAAAACAGATGGAATAAAGTAAAATAAGACGACTAAATAGTTAGATTGTATATTTGTCCCTACAAAATAAATAAGACTGTTATTATCCGTCACAAGAGGATGTCTTTGAATTACATTGAAGAACTCTTAAAGGGTACATAGTAGTTTCATAGGACGTGGATTAACAGAAAGGTCTCCAAGAATATTAATCGTGGAAATAGGCTTGATATCTTTCTTCTGTCTTTTGTTATGTTCATGTTCCATCACATTTTAAATAGAGAAGGAGCACTGTAGCAAGTCATTCTTATCAAATGACGACTAATTTTTTTCATCATAAAATATGATCATTGTTGATAGTGATAGTTGCTAATCTATATAAATAAAAATGTAAATGTTCATTTGTTCAAAATCTTAAATCTCCTAAAGTTCTTCACCGATTGCTTTGAAATTTTGACACAATGTTGCATTCGAATACGCACGTGTTTTTATATACCTACTATTATATAGATGTCACACCTGTGACAGGTAAAAACATGCTTTTTTGAAAAACAGTGCCATCTGTTGGACGTACAAGCATTGTGAAATTAAACAAATTACAAACGTGCACTTTCTCTTTTCTTTCTTTTCCATTTAACCAGACTGAGCCACAGCAACGCGTGGCCGGGTACAGCTAGTAAAGTAATAATTGTTTAATACCAAAAACTAGCTGAGATAAGGGAAAAAAATGGGACCCAGATTCATTTAATGTAATGTAAACCCTGGATTTGGATATTATCTGTCTGTCTTAGGAAAGCTACCATTTGTTATCTAGTTTTTATTACTAAAGAGGAGGAGATGCTAGTCATGATGGTATTAATTACATCCAGTATCAGAAGCAAGATGCTTTTCAGTACCATTTCCTGGGGATTATTAGTTTCCAGACTCATTTAGCAGTTTTCCACTGTAGAAATAATATGTTGCACTATATATCATCTTTTTTGTGACCCATCATGATTTTTATAAAGTTCTCTCCAAAGATATATCTAGAAATCAGTTTCTTTTCCCACATACTGCATGCTTGTTTAAGGGTTTTAATTAGTGTAAGTATTTTTTTTATATCTGATCATATTCAAAAACATCTGCAAATATATTGTAATTCTGGTGTTTTTGTAATGTACATGTGCCTTCCTCTCTTTTGCCCACTCTCAGGAACATGGTATTCCAACTGACATTGGCTACGCTGTGGCTCCACATCATTCTGGAGTCTATCCAGTTCATGTTCAGCTTTATGAAGCTTGGAAGAAGGTCTGGGGTATTAAAGTGACCAGCACCGAAGAATACCCTCATCTGAAACCTGCACGGTACAGACGGGGCTTCATCCACAATGGCATCATGGTACATTGCATTTCCATTATTTCATAATTGCTCCGGTGCAAAAATAACCAAAGCAGATTTATTTATTTGTTTGTTTATAACATTTATATAGCTGCCCATCTCATAAAAAAAACCTCTGGGTGGATCAATCAAAAATTAAAACAACATGAAAGCCATGTTAAAACTATAAAAACTATAAATATTAAAAACAAAAACTTGGTGCCAAGTCAAGCTTCTGATATACAGTCACCTTATCCTATCATAGCACTTAAGGGAAAAGCCAGGTCTTTAGTGTTTTGCGAAAGGCTAGGAGGTTAAGGACCTATTGAATTTCAAGAGGCAAAGTGTTCCCCAGGGCACACATCACCATGGGAAAGGCATGTTTCTTGACTATCATAAGATAGCAATATTTAAGGGAGGGGACTAGAACAAACAGATGTTAGGGAAAGGTGGTCCTGCAGATAACTTGGCCCACACTGCTTGCATTTTTTTTAATTGAACAGTCCCTATTGGCTATTACAACTGGGCTTAAATTTTCTTACAAGAATTTAGTGAAAGCTTGAAGGATATTTACAATATATATATCCCGCTGGCATGTTTGTTTAAGTAATAGGTGCACACTTTTCTTCATGTTAATCATTTTATAGGTACCAAGTATTGGCAAATTTAGTAATTCATCTTGCATCATATCTAAAATACAATTAGATTAGAACTTTAGAAAAATGAATAATATGAGACTACAAACAACCTACAGTTACAACTCTGTATAGATTACAACATGTTTTATTTTTTCAACCAACTTAGAAAGCATGCACATTTCTTCCGCCCAGTAGGTATTCAGAAACAGAAGTAATATTTCCAAGCCAAGGTAAAGACAAGGCAGCTGTTTATACGATCTCCTGAATGTCATGGCAAAAGGTCAGAGCAGTTGGGTTGAGACCATATCCTCATAGGATTAACTTGGTCCATCAGTTAGATAAAAAAGACTAGCTAGCTGGCAGCTATAATAACCATGTAGTGAGAGGGAACAGATTGGAACACAAGAACAGATGAACATTATCTCCAAATGAAATGTCAAGGGAATTTTAGGCAGATGAGACTCAGAAACAATTATTAAAATCCATCACTATTCTATCAGTAAAAAAGTTGCTCTCATGATTACAACATTATTTCAAGAAAAGTTTGAGTGTGCCCAAACAAAGCTACACTACTATAATGCTTCCAGAAATATTTCTTGTGAATAAATATTTTGAATGAAGACAGTTTCAATGAAGATTGTTTTTCACCTAAATAATAACTCATATTTCCATAATTATGGTTGGTTACAGAGGCCAAATGGGTATCTATTTTTTTTAGAAATAACTCCATATATTTTGAGAAGATGATTGCTTAGAGAACTTTTAGAGAATTCAATCTTTAGTATTACAAGCTAGCACTATTTTGGGCTCACACATACTATAGTAATATTCTGCTGCTACATGAATATGGGCAAAGATTATGATAAACAGGCATTTGTCTAAAAAGATAAATTTGAATAAATGTATTGAGGAAGTATGGTTGTTAGTCAAAACAATTCTCCACAGGGTCAGTATCCGGAGCTGACCTCATTTGCTTTTTCCAAGTTCTGTACTTTTTTGGTGGGTCCACTATAAATCTTTACATCTCATCCCTGCTCTCCCTGTTACCAGTTCTGTATAAAAATGCAAGTAATGACAAGATTGAGGAATAAAAACAGCATTCTTTACAAACTTTGAATTCACTTTTTGATGAAAACCACCTGTATGGGACCTCAGTGGGAAGAAGAAAGACTGTTGCTTGGAATTATTAAGGAACCACTAGGCTAAGCTGGCATTGCTTGGAATAAAACATGTCGGTATCCTTATGAGCTTCCCAATGGAAAGCTACTGTGATAATCCAAATTCTGGACAAGATGGATCTGTCATCTGTCCAACAACATTTGTTTTAGATTCTCACATTTATAATCATTTTGTGTTTCTTAGCACTGCATGTGTCATGTAGGCATCATGTTTAAAGCATGTTTCCCTCTGTGAAAGACAAAAAGAAGACCTATGTTAAGATACATTTCTCATCTGCAGTTTTACAAATACTTATATTTAAGATAATTAACATTAAGATATTCTTGAACCCGGTTAAACTTTGTCAATTTTTTATTTAAATAAAGGTTTTTTAAAAAGCTAGCCAGGTAACCTAAATTATTACTTAGATTCTATAAATCATATATGACTGTATTTATGTTTAAAGCAAGGATTATTCCAATCAGCATGCAATGGTCTTAAAAGAGTTTCAAGACCACACCTATTCAATGGGGAGGAGGGCCTGACTACCTGATTATTACCATATGTTACGACATGGACATCAACTGACCTTCAAGTTGCTGTATCCGATGGCAGGAAAAATTTCAGTCACAGATTGAAAATTGTAATTTTAGCTATCAGCATCTTACAGCTGAGGGAATCACATACCAATGCATCATACACCAGTGCATGCATGAATAAGTAGTTATCCATACCAAAAGCTTGCTTGTTGTTGTTGGTTTATCTTAGGTACTCCCTCGACAGACATGTGGACTTTTCACCCATACAATTTTTTACAAAGAGTATCCTGGTGGCCCTCAAGAACTAGACAAAAGTATCCAAGGAGGTGAACTGTTTCTTACCATCCTTCTTAATCCTGTAGGTATTTTTTGTGTTTGAAGAGTAATAATAATACTTGCTGTATTATGATAGTAATATATACTATAGTAACATAATGCATGAGCGTATTTAGAAAGCAGAAATTATTTCTTTCTGAATAAATTTTTGTCTGCCATTAATGTCAAGTATTTTTAAAAGAAAAGATTAGATGATAATGAAGATTAAAATATAATATTTACATTACATAATATTGGAGGCTTTCCAAAAATACCTTTATGCAACTATCCTGTGAAAACAGGTTAATATATCTTCAAGTTGTAGACCAGGGGTAGGCAACCTTGGCTCTTTTATGACTCGTGGACTTCAACTCCCAGAATTCCTGAGCCAGCCACACTGAGGGAAAAGGGAGAGGTTTCCAAGCTGAGCCATGCTGGCTCAGGAATTCTGGGAATTGAAGTCCACGAGTCATAAAAGAGCCAAGGTTGCCTACCCCTGCTGTAGACAGAAAATAAGCATTTCTTATGTAATGCCACCTAATGATAGGACATTCAAGCGAGAATGTTCTGATTTGCAGCTCATTGTTTTCAGTTCTTTTATACCACAAATATTTCAAGTTGACATGAATTTATTTTTTTTTATTTTTTTTAAAAGCAGCAAATAACAATAGTAAGACAAAAGAAAGCAAAGGTAGTGCCAATAGTAAACAACCTCAAAAAAACTGGAGCACCACTTGAATACCATCAGCATGGACAAAATCACCATCAGTCAATTGCAAAAGAGAGAACTAAATTAGCTACTAGATTTAAGTTGAAAAATACAGATGATTTTATCCTATACACCAAGGCTCTCTAACCTAAGCCATCATTATCCATTATAGATAATGGTGTAGCCTACTATTTTTGTTTGGAGTGATTGCAATTAATAAATGTGATTTTTTTAAAAAAGAAATATAGCTAAACCAAATTTATATAAATACTATTCATTATACTGCTCTAAATCATTCAGTCCATGAAAACCATCCTTGCTTCCTTCATGAGCATGTACTGTTTCATTTATCTTTTGGTCACCCGGGCCAAATGAATAGGAAAATTGGATTTTCAACAGTTGCAGTTACCACTATAAGTAAAAATATTAATTCAGAATATGTGCAGAATGAAAGAAACAGACTTACAAGAAAACCATATTTCAGGTATTCTACAAAAGTAAGCTGATTTCCAGTTTCCAGTAAAGTAGTTTTTTTAATACATAAAATTGTAAGTTTCCATCATGTTTTATTTGTTTTAATAATAGAGATGATATATTTATTTCTTGCCCAAGTCTAACCTCTCATTTTAGAGAGTCACGGTCCTGAAAAATTTGAGACCTCCTGCTTACACAAATAACACTAACTGTCTTGTCAACTCTCTAATAACCTTTTAATGTTTCCCAAAACACAGACATATATTTGAAGCTACGTATTATTATCTTATCTCATTTCCTTATTCTTAGAAACATCTCATGGAATTTAAGATTGAATTTCATATTGTTTTTATTAATAATGCAGGATGATTTTTTAGAATATTCTGAATAAAGGTAGATATGTCTAGTGTCAATTGTACAATAATTATCATTCATTATAATCTATCACACACTCATGAGCAGTCACGCACTGTCACATCTAAAACTAAACTGAGCCAGCGAATTTGCTTTTCTTCAATATCTCATTTTCATTCTGTAAGTCATCAATCAATTCTTCATTTTTGGATTATCAATATTCAGTTTATCCCAGATGTTAGACAAAAAAACAGGGTTTTTCATGGATTAATAATAGAAATAGCACTTAGAGTTATGTACTGCTCCATAGTGCTTTATAGCACTCTCTGAGCAGTTTACAAATGTTAGCATATTGCCCCAACAATCTGGGTCCTCGTTTTACTGATCTCAGAAGGATGGAAGGCTGAATCAATCTTCAGCTGATCAGGATCAAACTCCAGACTGTGGACAGAGTTAGCTTGAACAATTGCATCATGACAGCTCATTAGCCCATTCAAGTAATCTCTATTTTGCAGTGTCATTGTCCATGTTTAGTCTTACTGCTGCATTCTTACATATTTAGACCATGAATAAATGTCAATAAATATTTTAATTTGTCCTTTTAAGTTTTCATTTAATGTTGTATTTCTGTCATGATTTTTTTATCCATGCTGTGTCTAGTAATTGCAGGTTTTTTATTAGAAAATAGCCCAATTTCTAGCTTTCCAGACAAGTAGCATCTTACCAGAAAGATAAAATTATAGCTCTAAGAAACAAGTGGGTCATGATTTTATAAGCTTCCTAAATATGGGTTATGAAATTTATTTTTAAGCAGTTGTGTAATAAAATAATTACTTCTGTATCTCATGGGTGAAATATAACTTGACTTCAAAGAGTTTGGAGAAGATTTAAATGTTTGGAACACTAAAGCATTATTAAATGTATAATATGACCTACATTTCAGGCTAAAGAGAACTTTAATGATGCCTTTATTATTAAGAAAATTTCTGTCTCCAAACTTGCTTATCACTGCCGCTACAGTGCGATTAGAAAATGTTCTATTCCTGCCTTTGCTTCACTTTAATCCTCTCCTACATATTTCCACTTCTGCTTAAGCTTCTTACGATTTCCCTGAACGACCACTTGCTAAAATTTATGATGTTTTGAACTCTGAAACTCAATATTCTTCTTATTTTGTGTCACAACCTACTGAAAATATTGACTGATAACCATTTCAAGCAGTGAATTCCATGCATATCTAAGCATAAGTTTCAAACAGTATGTTCTTAAGTGGCAAATTTATTTATATTCTGCCTTTCCTCTCAGGAGATGAAATCAGCCGTGTCCCATCAAAGCCAAAGTTTACTTAGCTTCACCTGTATGTCTGTGTTTTTAAGCTGCCCTTTGGGCCTTGCAGTGTTGCTTCCTAAGTTCACATAAAGAGGAACAGACACAAGTTTTTACCTGAATCTCAGAAGTGTTGTCTCTTTTAAAGTCAAGCAGAATACTCACTGTTTTCCTTCTAGGATAAATATGGTGAACTGGACACCAATATGATGCTTGCCTCATCCTCTCCTCAGTTCTATATATCATGACCAGACCAGTCTCCATAAATTTTAATTCATCTATACCAGTGATGGTGAACCTTTTAGAGACTGAGTGCCCAAACTGCAACCCAAAACCCATTTATGCATCGCCTAGTGCCGGGTGGGTGTGGTCCATTGGGTGGGCATGGCCAATTGGGTGGGCGTGACTGCGGTGGTAACGGCAGACTGAGTGGGACTAAAAAGTTCAATCAATCAATTCCCACTTTGCAAGATCTTTTTTTTTCCCATGAGAAGTTGAAATTGACTGATTGAATCTTTTTTTTTTTTTTTGCACACAGCGGCGGAGGCCTAAAGCAAAAAGGTTTCATAAAACCCAGCTGAAGGCCTAGGACTGGGGCGACGGTGCACATGCCCACAGAGAGGGCTCGGAGTGCCGCCTCTGGCACCCGTGCCATAGGTTCACCACCACTGATCTATACCCTATCCATACTTCATTTTGGTATTTCTCTAGGTTTTTTTTTAGTTTGTTATGACAGCCATTTTGTGCCATGAACATGTTTCAAGTAACTGGACATATTTAGACAGACATTTTTCAGATCATCCTTTAAAATTGGACAAACAGGGAAAGTGAAATTAAAGTGCCCATGTATTTTGGCATTAATAATTAAGGTGTTAACATTTCTATATTTTGGCTACACCACAATAACTACAATAATTATTAAACAGGAACCGAAGTGGATTCTAGAGAAGTAGCAATCTAATGGCAAGTGCTCTTCTCAGTTACATAATCTTCAGGCAATCTGAAATAAATATCAGCAAAAGAGGTGCCAAATCTGATCTTAAAAAAAATGTTCTGTACTTCCAAAATTTCCTAAGCAGTGGATAATTAATCTGGATCAGGAATTATATACTCAGTAAATTGTGTTCTTTCTTTCTTTGATTTATAAACAATCTGAATCCCAAATCACTCTGGAGAACTTTCACCTAAGAACATATTTATATATAAAATTTAAAAAAAAATAAAACTGACCAGAAGAATTCAAACTAAGCAAAGCAAAACAAACAGGCAAAAGGACAAAAGGGGCCTCCACAATCTTGCCCTGTCCCCAAGGCCTGGGAGAACATTTTCCTGGAGGACCTAAGGTGGGAGCCTCATAAATCTCTGGAAGCATTTATTCCAGAGGAATTGAAAGAGTTTCAGTTCCTGGTCTTCCCGGGTCCTACAACGTGACACTCTTTAAATCAGGGGTAGTCAACCTTGGCTCTTTTATGACTCGTGGACTTCAACTCCCAGAATTCCTGAGCCAGCTGTGCTGGCTCAGGAATTCTGGGAGTTGAAGTCCACGAGTCATAAAAGAGCCAAGGTTGACTACCCCTGATTTAAATGATAGGCTGCAGAATATGCCCACTGTGCTGAACCATACCAGTTAAGCAGACATAACTAGAGATAGGTAGTTCCTCAGACAGGCAAGTCCTAAGCTTCAGATATTTTTAAAGATGATAACTAGCACTTTGAACAGCACCTAGTAGCCAACTGGTAAGCAATGCAGCTTACAAAGCAGTGGAGTGACACACATATAATACCACGCCCCCATCTCTCCCCACATCACCGCATTCAGAACCAATTTTACAAACTGCAGATCACACTTTGCGGTAATGCAATTATGAGGTGCAACCCATTGAGAGTCAACAATGGAATATTGAGGATGTGGGGGGAGGGGGAATAAACACAGCCACTCAGTGTTGTAGGGATTGAGCGTCAGTCTGTTCCTTCCAATCCAGACCTGCACAGTTCCAGGCACTGGGTCTGTATCAGAGTCTTCTCCAATAACTCTTGACGTCATATTACCTGTTCATTTTTAAGCTTCATTATTAGTGTTTCCAATGAGCAGGATGGTTTTACTTCACCTAATACTAAATTATTTGTTGTTTTTCTGTTGGTCCAAAATATTATCAACTATTGTCTCAAGTATCATAATT